CCAGCCAGCAAAAAGCCCAAGGCCAATGCTGCCGCCGCTGTGGTGCTCACTCTCTGATTGCTGTTGCTCGTCATCGTCCCCGTCATCTCGATGCCGTCGCACGTTTCGATCGAGTCTGCTGCTTCCCGTGCTGCGATTTATGGCTGCCGATGTCAATATGCTGGACGCAAATCGACTAATACCCTCAGCCTTACACGTCAATGGAAAGGCCGTTTCGAGGATATAAGGCAGAGACCTTGGAGAAAGTGTCCGGGTGGGGAGAAGTATTCATTAGTATTTATGATCATAATTTGTGGGACAATATATGAATGTCGTATTGTTCTTTGCTTGCATAACAATTTGGGGTAAATCAATTTTTCTAATGTTTTTGATGCCTGGCATTACATATCATTAAGACAATTGCTTGTGCGAGGGAGGATCAAACACGCTTGGTCGTGTTCTCAGCATGCAAGAAGTGCAAGGAGGGACTTTTACGAGAAAGAGGGTTTAAACCATGCCAATTCCGTTTGCTGCAATTTATGAAGAATACGTCACCCTATTGTCAAGATGTCAGCGGAATAAGTTTTTCGGTGCATTTTTTGTCGTCTGCATGAGATCGAACAAGACATTGATGTCATGACGACGGACGCAGAGGGAAGTGGGATTCGGGGTAAGGGGAGGCGACGGAGAACGTTTCCGATCCGTTTGAAAAATCAAATTTCCGTTGCTTGGGTGGAAATGCAGCATTCAAGACATGGATGGAGAAACAATAATTGTTTAAGAGTTGATAAGATCTGATAAATTGACACATCAAGAAATAAGAATGCGTAAATGCTGGGATGCTTCCTTTCAAAGTCATTAGTTATATTGAGGCGCGCCGTCCACGGAGCCCTGGCCACGATGAAGGTCTCTCATTTTGCCGGAAGTGGAAAAGAGAGTGAGTCTACAAGCAAAGATCGATAAAAATGACAAATTTGCGTCTCGACTCATTTCCTCTATTTTCATGCCCGCATTGTAGGCGTTAGAGAGTGAACTTATTGTGCCGCTGATTTTCTTTGTTCCAACAACGAAACGTTTGGTATGAACTTCAATAAAATTTGCTTCCTTACTATGTGCGACATTTAAAATCTTACACCTTAGCTTTTCCCGCTTCCTAACATTTGTCCCCGACGCTTGGTCCCTACTGACCTCCTTGTTCCTGTTTATTCCTCGCAAAAATTTGCCGCGCCAACCAAATTGGCCGCATTCCATTGGCCAACACCAATATCAGACTCAAGGCATCTATAGCCACAGCCTTCCAGACCTGCGGTCGCTGCGCGTGTCCCCCGACGAATATCAAGGCAATCAAACCCAATTTCAATCCCAATGCCAATGCCACATTCTGCCGCACCACCCCTCTCATGGCCTGGGACATGCGCATGGCCTCTGGGAGACGGCTCAAATCGTCGGAAAGAAGGACCACATCGGCCGCCTGCGTGGCCAGGACGGTGCCTTGTTGGCCCATGGCGATGCCCACGTCGGCCGCCCGCAGGCTTGGAGCATCATTGACCCCATCGCCGAGCATCCCCACCAGGCGCCGGGACCGGGGGGCCGGGTCCAACCGACGGGGGAGAAGGCGGCCATGGTCGTGGCGAGGAAGAGAAGACGAAGGGGGCTTTCTTGGTGGCCCCTTACGGTGGGAATGGTGGGAGTGGGGACCATCGCCCTCCTGCTTGCCGCCCTCCAGGCAAGGCTCGGCGCAACAAGCCGAAGCCGCGTGGTCATGCCCCTCCGCCCCTTCCTCCACCCCTCCTC